ATACATTTTCGCGATATAATTAAATAAAATTTAAACATAATTAATACAACTCATAATGTTTAAATATGATAACTATTAATATATGATAATTAAACCGAAAACCATTTCCCGAAGAACACGAGCTTCGCAAAAACAAATTAGTTTGTTTAAACATTGTCAAATTAACCCCGAAAATGTACAATTTCTGTGCTAAAATATGAAAAATAATTTTTGCAATCTCATCGTGACGTACCATGACGTCACTGTCACGTGAGCTACCTGATAAAAGGTCCACTTTTCCGTCCTCTGTGTTTAGTTTAGATTCCGGTCTGGTAGCAACAACACTAGAGCTCCGTTTTGGGTTAAAAGTAGCACGTGTTCGCGAATTTCTAATTTATTGTTAATAAATATTAGCGAAAATGTTTTGTGTGAAGTGCTGTGAACACGAACGAAAATGGATATTTTTCCGAAAAGGACCGATAACAGGGTAAGTACGACTTCAGTTTTAATTTATCGGATTCCGTGATTCGTTTATTCGACAATGTTTAAATTTTGGAAAAATTTTCGAAACGATTGAAGTTGGTGGGTCAAAGCTATACATTTTTGCGATATAAATAAATAAATTTTAAACGTAATTAATATCATTTATAATGTTTAAATATGATAAGCATTCATATATTATGACAATTAAACCGGACCTCGTTTTCTTGCAAAACCCGAAATTATTAAAAACAAATCAATTTGTTTAAACAATGTTAAATTATTCCCGAAAATGTGCATTTTCCCGGCCAAAATATGAAAAATAATTTTTGCAATCTCATCGTGACGTACGATGACGTCACTGTCACGTGAGCTACCTGTCCGAAGGTCACGTTTCTCGCTCCTTTGTGTTCAGTATTAATTTCTGCTTGATGGCGGCAAGATCGTCGCGTCATTTTGGCGTAAAAGTGGAGCGTTTTAGCGAATTTCTAGTTTATTATTAATACATATTACGGAAAATTTGTTGTGTTAGTGCTGTGAACACGAACGAAAATGGATATTTTTCCGAAAAGGACCGAAAACAGGGTAAGTACGACTTCAGTTTTAATTTATCGGATTCCGTGATTCGTTTATTCGACAATGTTTAAATTTTGGAAAAATTTTCGAAGCGATTAAAGTTGGTGGGTCAAAGCTATACATTTTCGCGATATAATTAAATAAAATTTAAACATAATTAATACAACTCATAATGTTTAAATATGATAACTATTAATATATGATAATTAAACCGAAAACCATTTCCCGAAGAACACGAGGTTAGCAAAAACAAATTAGTTTGTTTAAACATTGTTAATGTACAATTTCTGAGCTAAAATATGAAAAATAATTTTTGCAATCTCATCGTGACGTACGATGACGTCACTGTCACAGTTCAGTTTTGATTCTGGTTTAGTGGCAGCAACATCGGAGCTCCGTTTTGGGTAAAAAGTAGGACGTGTTCGCGAATTTCAAATTTTTTGTTAATAAATATTAGCGAAAATGTGTTAAGTTATGTGAACACGAAGCAAAGTGGATATTTTTCCAAAAATGCCCGATTTTTTTTGAAATTTGTTAATAACATGCATTCAGCACTGATAAAATACGGCTTTAGAATATACAAAATACTGCGTTCATAATTCACAAAATACCGTATGCATCATTTTTAAAATACGGCGTCCAAATTTACAAAATACGGTGTCCTTCACGTATGCTATCAAACCCTAGTCCTCTCTTTTAATGGCAAGACGCACTCCAGACCTCCTCGTATTGTTTGGTTCTTGCTGGGCAACAGCAACGAGCGAGCAGAGTCATCGCTCTTTGTTGGCAAACGTGGAGAAATTTGTATATTGTAACTTTTGTAATTGAAGCATTTTCTACTGTATATTTTATGTATTACTAACTTAACTTGGGTCTTGCCAATTTAGCTCCTGTGGGGCAAATGCTTTGTTTTCACGGTGCACTTGCTTGGGTATTAATTTTGCAACAGTGCATTCTTTGGTTCCGAGTCTGAATTCTCCATGTCGTCAGACGCTCTGGCCTGGGGGGTTCTGCTGGCCCTTAGATGCTGGGTCATCATCCTGAACGGATGAGGTTCATCATCCTAAAAGGATGAGGTCAGTCGGCCCTGTATTTATGCGGCTCCATTCTCCCTTGGGCGTGTGAGTGCTACGACCAATAGATTTCGTCCCGGTTCCATCGGTGTGCTTGCTTGGGTATTTTTTTTGCAACAGTGCATTCTTTGGTTCAGAGTCTGAATTCTCCATGTCGTCAGACGCTTTGGCCTGGGGGGTCTGTTGGCCCTTAGACGCTGGGTCGCATCATCCTATAAGGATGAGGTCAGTCGGCCTTGGATTTATGCGGCTGCGTTCTCCCTTGGGCGTGTGAGCGCTGCGACCTATAGATTTCGTTCCGAGTTCCATCGGTGTGCTTGCTTGGGTTTTCATTTTGCAACATTCTCAATTTTTGGTGCAATTTTTTCCGGTGGTGTATTGGGTACTAACTTTGCATTTGTATTGAATCTGAATTGTATCTGTAGCTGTAGTGTATTCTGTATTGTAACTAGATTGTAGGTACCTGTATTGTATTTCTATTGTATTGTACTGTATAACGTTCTATCCCTCATTAACAAATCCTAGCCCTCTCCTTTCCTAGCGAGATCTGCTCCAGACCTTCCCGTGGTTCTTGCTGAGCATCAACTATCGAGGACAGATAATTCAAATTCAAAACCAGCAAAGTTTCACAAAAATCTTGAAAATCGCTCGTTGGTGGCCAACGTGGAGCAAAAGAGACTTTTGTAACTCGACTAACTTTGTTAACTTTGTATTCTTAAGGAAACAAAAATATATTACATTTAATTTATTATTTATAAGGACAAATGTGAAGACAAGTTGTTAACAAATTTTTCCTTCATTTTCCTTTTTTTCCTCGGCAACTTCTACCTTTGATAGGAGGTGGAACGGTAAATCACAAGTACAGACTCATCATATGTTGTACATTTTAGATAGGATTTATTCGGCAAAGTTTTGAGCTGACGTCATCAATTTTTTGGAGGGGATAAGTTAATATATTTTGATTAAAAATTTATCATGCTTATGGTAACTGTAAACCATCTGCACAAGACTTCAAAGCTTTCGGCTTTGCAGATTCAAAATTAAATTGCAAAATGTTGTTTTATAATTTTGATTTTTTTTCCAAAAATCTGTATGTTTGGGGTAAAAACTCAATACGGAGTCGTAAACTACATGTATAGGACTATGTTATTTAATACAATCTAAAACCCACTTACTATATGCAATTTTGAAGTGGTGTCATCCCATTATTGGTGGGGATGATTAGGCAAATTTTGCTCAGCGTTTTACCATCTACATGATATACGTAATATAAATACAAAATTTGACAACAATCGGTCCAGTACTTTCGGAGATTATAAAGTCTAATAAAAATCCGGGACGGCAGACAGACGGAAACGGGAGACCTATTTCTTTGTCTTCTAGAGGTCATGAAAGATCAAGAAAATGTAAAAGTAGAGAGTCGGCCGATGGACTCGATTACAATACTACGCTCGGGAAGTAATTACAAATTGAAAAATTCAAAAATTGAAAAATTTCAGTTTATAAAAAAGAAAAATTGAAGAGCTGAAAAGAAGAAAATTTAAAAATTGAAACTGAAAAAAAACACTATTTATCAGTATAAAATCTACTTTTCTTCCAATAAAATCGTGATCGAGAAGAAAACGGGGCGGGTGGGCGGGGCCACTTTGAAGTTTTTTAAGCATTCAGCTATAAGAAGATCGATAAAGGACGCGACAAAGATGGCAATAAAGAGATCGACATGTGAAAGAAATGAAAGGAGAACGAAAACTTGAAGAAAATCAGAATAAGAACTAGTCAAGGATCGAAAATAGAAATGACAACCAAAACTATAGTGTGGAAGAAAAAGAGAATTAGGCATCGAAACAAAATGAAAAAGGACGTTATGAAAACGAGAATCCAATCGAGAAAGGAAACTAAAAAAGAGAATGATATGGAAAAGCGCAGTTGGACTCTAATACGAACAAGGTAGAATGAAGGCGATAAAAAGAGTTGATGTGAAGAATGTGAAAACTTGAAAGAAAACCAGAATTAGAACTATGTAGAGATAAAGAAAATTAAAAAATATATATCAGCAAAAAAAAGTAATAACTTCGTAAGAAATACGTAACTTTGTTTAGAAAATTTTCTTTTAATTACAAAATAAATATACCACGTATTGTAACAAAACGATTTATAAACCAAATCAGTTCCATCAACATCGAACCTTTTTCATTTATGAACACCACATTAAAACACATTTAATTAACCAAAGTGGTGGGCTCGACAGACGACAAAAGCGTAAACATGACTCCGTCAAAACAAAAAAACTAGAACAACGTACGAACTCCAGAAAACAACCTCGATTACGATAATTGCCGTAGTTAAACATCTACAACTTTAAACATTAACGACAGTGTTAAATAGTTCGGAAGATTCTAATCGATAATTAATTCACGAGCTTTTTTAAAGTAGCAAAAATAGAGATTCGTGACAAAAGTAATAATTAAAACTAGAACAACAGAATTCTGATCAGATAAAACTAAAAAAAAAAAAGTAAACAGAAAACATAATTTCCATTTTTGATAATCAAAATTCGTCCCGCGGCCACAATTATTACATATTTAGCACGCATTTAACGAGCGACTTTACGCCGATTAGTCGAATTCAATTCTCCAAACACGATCGATTTTCCAATTAATCCCGAATTACCACACTCGAAACGTCGAAATTCGCCCTCATCAAGCCCGCTCGTAAAAACGTCCCATTTGTACCCGGAAGCAAACGCCTCATCTTTAATTACTTCCCCCATAGAACAATAACTCAGCGGCAATTGGTTCCAGCGAAGTATACGCAAGCACGCGACAAAAAAACCAGGACAAAGACAAACAAACACAGCCCGCTTTAATCGGACACGCCGGCTATGACACGTACCTCCTCCAAGGGCATAATTTCCTGCTGGAGGGTCTCCAGCTGCGTGGTCAACTCGACTTCCTTCTGGATCTGGTGCTCCTTTACGTTCATGGACTCGTAAAGCTGCGAAATCAGCTTCTTTACGTCGTCTAATCTGAGAATAAATTTACAATTATGGAGATTTTTCAAAACTCGGACGTCCTACCTTTGTACTTCTTCGGTGGTCAACCGCTCCTGCTTGGGCGAGTCGACGTTGTAGGCGTTGTCGTTGATTAGCAGCTTGAAATCTTCCTGCAACAGGGTTTCGATGCTAGTGGAAGACGCTATCCGAGTGCCGTCAGTCGCCTTACAAACTACCCTATCGATACCCTTATCTTCTTTCTTCAGCATGTCGATAAAGTCGCCGACTGTATTCGAGATGGGTTTTAGCGTGAATCTACATCGTTCCCGCCGGCTGGGGAGCGGCACGGTGACCTGGGGGAGGCCCCGGATGTACTCTATCGTTACGTCTGGAAAGATGATAAAAAACTCGTTACTCGACTACGGAAAATCAAACAATACATATAGTGTATAAAAGTAAAACTGAATATGAAAATCCGCTAGGTATAATGGCGTGCCTACGAACATTCGCTCTACTTTCGATAATTAAATGCGGCCGATGTAAAGACGAAATTGGGTTTAATTTCCGAAGGGAGCTTAGGTATGTAAGCTCATTAGAACGCAGTAGTCGTGATGTGGTTCGTTGCTTGTTAAATTTTAGGGGATTTGGTCGGTATCCAATAGTAAAAATTTGTAATTGGAGGAGTGAAATTTGTTATTTTATGGCGCTCTACATGTGGATTAATTGTGCCTAATTGCTAACTAGCACAGATAATTATAGCAATCGAGGTTTGATGTAAGAGCGATAAAACACAAACTTGTAAATTAAAAAAACGCGAATTTTATACAAGAGAAAGAAAAAACGAAAAATGCGATACTTTGGGTGCGTAAAAACCGAAAGCTTTTAACAGCATTAAAATAATTAAACAATTTCGACTGAAAAAAATTGATATTTCGTGAAATAATTCTTGTAATAATGAAATTTTGTAATTTAGTTGGTAATAAGTTAATAGCTGTAATTAAGTAGTCTACGTGATAGTATCTAGTACCAGTTACATTGGTGTCAATTAATCATAATTGTCGTAGCTCACGACATACCTGCAAAAAATTGTCGTAACGTGTTAAGTGATTACGAAAACTTTGAATAGCCAATTTCCGATAAGTACCGAACATTATGGATACTTTAATTGAAATTAAAATGCACCGTCGCATGCGATAAAACGTTAATCCGGAGTCATTATGCGATAGCTTGAAATGAGCGAGAAAGGTGGGAAAACACTTAAACATTTTCTTTTTTTTATAAAATGACACAGATGGCTCTAACTGAGTAGAAAAAAGTACTAGAGCATAAATAAAGAAAAAAAACATGCAAGCGTATTGAAAATCTCAATTTTTTCGAAAAATTTCCAATTTTTTTTCTGAAAATGTTAAAACTGGTTATTTCCGATTCCGAAAATTGTTAGCGAGTGAGAATTTCAAGCATATTAAGAATGTGAAAGCCATTTTTCGATATTCTGTCAAATAAGTACGAAAACTGCGGAAAAAAATGCAAATATTTTTTTTCAAAATTATTAAGGTTCCTGTTTTCCTGCGACGGAAAATTTTACAACACCTCCTAAAATATTCGAAAAACAAATAAATGTAAAGAAAGTAAAGCACAATAAGTGAAAAATGTAGGAAAAAATTTTCCAATTTTTTTTTTATATTAAAATTGTCCCTTTTGGAATCCAAAAACGTGCCAGCGTATCGAAAATTTCCCGCAGGTTAAGAATACGAAAGCTCTGTTTCAGTTTTAAGAAATTAAAAAAAGGGCGGACAAATTTTCCAAAAGGTTACTTTTTTTTGAAAATGATCAAAGTGCCTCTTTTCCTGCAATAATTCTTCAAATAACCGAAAAACAAATTAACGCAGTTCTCTGTAAAGAAAAGTACGAACAAATTTTCCAAAAATTTAGTCCGAAATATTAAAACTGACTGTTTTCGAACCCAAAAATTCCAAATAATTCTCAAAACTTTCAAAATTTTTTCCTAAAATGTTAAAACTGGTTATTTTCGATTCCGAAAACTGCCAGCGTATTGACAATTTCTCGCAGATATGAAGGTTCTGTTTAGATATTTATTTCAAATGAGTAGGAAAAGTGTAGAAAAATTTTCCAAAAAGATGTAAATATTTTTTTCAAAATTATTAAGGTTCCTGTTTTACTGCAACGGAAAAATTTTACAATACCTCTTGAAATTGCCGAAAAACAAATAAATGTAAAGAGTTCTGTACAATAAGTGAAAAATGTACGAAAAAATTTTCCAAAAATTTTGTCTGCAAATGTTAAAACTTGCTTTTTTCGGACCCAAAAACGTACTATTGTATTGGGAATTTCCAGAAGGTTAAGAACAAGAAATTCCTGTTTAGATATTTTGTTCAAAACTGTAAAAAAATGCGAAAAAAAATCCAGAAATTTTCAATTTTTTTTCTAAAATGTTAAAATTGGTTATTTTCGATTCAACAGTTCGACAATTTCTGGCAGATTGAAAATATGAAAGCCTTGTTTTGACATATATTTCAATGAGCAAGAAAAGTGTGTAAAATTTTTCCAAAAAGCTGCAAATATTTTTTTTCAAAATTATTACGGCTCCCGTTTTCCTGCGACGGAAAATTTTATAATACCTCTTGAAATAGCCGAAAAACAAATGAATGTAAAGAGGTCTGTACAATAAGTGAAAAATGTACGAAAAAAATTTCCCAAAATTTTCATTTTTTTTTGAAAATATTAAAATTGGCTCTTTTCTAATTCAAAAAAATGCCAGTGTATCGAGAATTTCCCGCATATTAAGAAAACGAAAGCTCAGTTTCAATTTTAAGAAAGTAAAAAAAGGCCGGATAAATTTTCCAAAAGGTTACTTTTTTTTGGAAATGATCAAAGTGCCCCTTTTCCTGCAATAATTCTTCAAATAACCGAAAAACAAATTAACGTAGTTTTCTGTAAACAAAATGAGAAAAGTACGAACAAATTTTCCAAAAATTTAGTCAGAAATACTAAAACTGGCTGTTTTAGAACCCAAAAATTCCAAAAATTTCTCAAAATTTTTTCCTAAAATATTAAAACTAGTTATTTTCGATTACGAAAACTGACAGCGTATTGACAATTTGTCGCAGATATGAAGGTTCTGTTTTGATATTTATTTCACATGAGTAGGAAAAATGTAGAAAAATTTTCCAAAAAGATGTAAATATTTTTTTCAAACTTATTAAGGTTCATGTTTTTCTGCGACGGACAAATTTTATAATACCTCTTGAAATTGCCGAAAAATAAATAAATATGAAGAGTTCTGTACAATAAGTGAAAATGTACGAACAAATTTTCCAAAAATTTTGTCTGAAAATGTTAAAACTGGCTTTTATCGAACCCAAAAACGTGCTATTGTATTGGGAATTTCCAGAAGGTTAAGAACAAGAAATTCCTGTTTAGATATTTTGTTCAAAACTGTAAAAAACGGCGAAAAAAATCCAGAAATCAATTTTTTTTCTAAAATGTTAAAATTGGTTATTTTCGATTTCAAAAACTGCTAGCGTATTGACAATTTCTTAAAAATATGAAAGCCTTGTTTTGATATATATATCAATGAGTAAGAAAAGTGTGTAAACATTTTCTAAAAAGCTGCAAATATTTTTTTTTCAAAATTATTACGGTTCCTGTTTTCCTGCGACGGAAAATTTTATGATATTACTCTTGAAATAGCCTAAAAACAAATTAATGTAAAGAAGTCTGTAAAATCAGTGGACAACGTACGAAAAAATTTCCAAAAATGTTGACTTTTTTTGAAAATATTAAAACTGTCTCTTTTCTAATTCAAAAAAGTGCCAGTGTATGGAGAATGTCCCGCATATTAAGAATACGAAAGCTCTGTTTCAAACTTAAAAAAGTAAAAAAAGTGAGGAAAAATTTTCCAAAAGCTTCCAATTTTTTTGGAAATAATCGAGGTGCTCCTTTTCCTGCAATACTTCTTCAAATAGAAAAACAAATTAACGTAGAGAGTTTTCTGTAAACAAAACGAGAAAAGTACGAAAAAATGTTCCAACAATTTTGTCTAAAAATGGTTGTTTTTGGAACCCAAAAAAAAATGAAAAAATTTTCAAATTTCTTTCCTAAAATGTTAAAACTGGTTGTTTTCGATTACGAAAACTGCCAGCGTATTGACAATTTCTAACAGATTAAAGATATGAAGGCCATGTTTTGATATTTATTTGAAATGAGTAAGAACAGTGTGTAAACATTTTCGAAAAAGATGCAAATATATACATTTTTTTAATTATTAAGGTTTTCCCGAGACGAAAAATTTTACAATACCTCTTGAAATAACCAAAAAATAAATGTAAAGAGTTGTGTACAATAAATGAAAAATATACGAAAAAAATTTCCAAAAATTTTGATTTTTTTTTTGAAAACATTAACAGAAATTAAGAATACGAGAGCTCTATTTTAATTTTAAAAAAGTACAAAAATTGCGGACAAATTTTCCAAAAGGTACCAATTTTTTTTGGAAATGATCAAGGTGCCCGTTTTCCAGCAATACTCCTGACTGAAAAACAAATTAACGTAGAAAGTTTTCTGTAAACAAAATGAGAAAAATACGAAAAAATTTTCCAAAAATTTTTTTCTGAAAATATTAAAACTGGCGTTTTCGTACCCAAAAACGTGCTAGGATATTGAGAATTTCCGGCAGGTTAAGTCTTGTTTAGATATTTTGCTCAAGAGTACACAAATGCGGGAAAAAAATCCAGAAATTTTCCAAATTTTCAAACTGGTTATTTTGGATTCTGAAACCTGCCAGCGTATTAACAATTTCTCGCAGATTAAGAATACGAAAGCTCTGTTTCAATCTTAAAAAACTAAAAAAAAGTGCGGACAAATTTTCCAAAAGGTTTCGAAAAATTTCCAAAATTTTTTTCAGAAAATGTTAAGACTGGTTATATTCGAATGCAAAAACGTGTTAGCGTGTTGAGGTTTTCCGGCGGGTTAAGAACACGAAAGCCTTGTTTGGATATTTTATTCAAAATAGTAAAAAAATGTGGAAAAAAATTCCAGAAATTTCCCAAAATTTTCAAAAATTTTTTTCTAAAATGTTAAAACTAGTTGTTTTCGATTCCGAAAACTGCCAGAGTATTGACAATTTCTCGCAAACTAAAAATATTGAAGTTCTGTTTTGATATTTGTTTCCAATGGATAAGAGAATTGTGTGAATAATTTCTAAAAAGATGCGAATTTTTTTTTTTCAAAATTTTTAAGTTTCCTGTGTTCCTACGAAGGAAAATTTTACAATACCTTTTGAAATAGCCGAAAAACAAATAAATGTAAAGAATTGTGCACAATAAGTGAAAATGTACCAAAAAAAATGCAGATGAAGAATACGAAAGC